GGGGGAGACAACCTGCTGGGTGTGGTGGTGCACACCTGCAAATCCCAGGCTGAGGCAGGAGGATCGCTGTGAGTTCGAGACCAGCCTGGGCTACATAATGAGTTCCAGGTCAGTCTCAACTACATAGTGAGACCCTGTTTGAGAAAACAAAACAAAACAAAGAAAGACAACCCTGATTTCTTTTGCAGTTATAAACATGAAAATATGAGCCTTCTACTACCTAGCAAGTGCACAGTAACCTATATCCTTCATTTAAAGATAAAATTCTTTATGGTACCTGATCATATGTAACAAAGACTTAGCACAAGATGACCTGTTAATATACAGCCCCTTGAAAGTAGCAATGATAATAAAATACAAACCGTGGAGGGGGATACAACTCTGTCCAGTAGAAAAGGGAGAGTGTAAATATGAGGTTCGGTTGTCCCAGTCATCAGGCAAGGAAAAGGACGTTGTGCCAGGAGGTTGAAATACCTAACAGAAGAAAAACATCTTATACAACAAGGCCTTTTCAGGATTAAAACTACTCTCACCAGGCTAATGAATGTAGTCTGGGCTATCAGAAATGCAATGAGAAAAAAACAGGACTTCATTTTCCTAAAATGAAAAGATTCCCCTAGCATCTCAGAACTGGCCAATCAACTTGTATCTTCCAGGAAAAAAAATTGGGGGTGGGGGGTACCAGGGATAGAACTCAGGACCTTGCACGTATGAGGCAGGCAGCGGCACCACTGAGCTAAATCCCCAGCCTAAAGGCTTTAATTTTGATAGAGGCAGACTAGTCATGGGGAGGTGAAAACTGTTGAGAAACAAGCCATTTTCTCTGTTGAAAACAGATCCTACAAACTTTTTTTTTTTGGTACAAGGGATAGAACTTGGGACCTTACACTTTTGAGGCAGGCAGCAGAACCACTGAGCTAAATCCCCAGCCCCCTACAAACTTTTAATGCTCATTCAATTCTCTGTATTGAAAACTAGAATGCAATGAACACAGGTGCGCACCCTTTGAGTAAACCAAACTAATCAGAAATCATTCATATGTACACCTGACTACCTCTGTTGGTGTTTTATTTAAGGGAGCAGGCAAACATTCCTTTGACCATGAATTAGTAAACAACAGTGTATCCGTTCTTTGGTATCAATAAAGGTAACTCCTAGCATATCCTGGACAAAGAACAGTGACTCCATGGCAGCCTGCTTGTCTTTAGCAAATACCTAATTGGTCACCTACTGTGCGCCAGGCACTGCATTTCAGAAGTTGTAAAGGAAAGCAAAGGGAGGGACAGAGAAAGGGAGGGAGACAAATATGATAGGACATTCCTAATCTCAACAGGTAACTTACATGTCTGTGTTCGTATGGCACAAGAATAGTTACTATCTGCAACAGAGAAATATATACTAGACTTGAATGCTGCTGTGTGTATAAAGACTGAATATTGTTGTTCTGACTGTGTCCCTAGTATCCTCACTTTCCTTTCCGGCAGCCATCTATGGAGGAAGACAGCAAACAGCCCACCCATCCCAGTGATGGAAGAAACTGCTTTGGGAAGAGAGACCGTATAAAGCCAGATGTGGTGGCGTACGCCAGGAATACCAGCACTCAGCCCACTCTGAGTGTGAGGCCAGCCTGGATTACAGAGTTTGAGTTCAAGACCAGCCTGAACTACATAGTGGGACCCTGTCTCAAAACAACAGAAAAAAACAAAACAAAACAAAAAAAACAACATATTAGACAGAGATAGCTAGACAGACAGTACATACGTTATGAGCCCTAAAGCCCTTTCTCTGATGAAGCAACATAGCACTTCGCCAGTTCCAAAAACTATTCTTCAAAATTTAAAAGGACTGATGAAGGCAGGAAACTTTCCTGTGTTACGTAGTGACTTTCATGTAAGCAGGGGAAAAAAATTTTAGTCAAGCAAAAATTTTTTAAAATATGCATATGCTGCTATATTTACATATGGGTTAACAGACAAATAATGGAAAACTTATTAGAACAGACTACAAGGTGAACATGCATTGCGGAGAAAAGAGTACCTGAGAACAACCAGCTCAGAGCAGAGGGAACTAAGAGGATAGAGCAGATATGCATGGATTCAGAGTGGGAAGTCTCAGCTTCAGAGAGCGCTAGTAACAGTGAAAGGATTTTCAAGGACATGGCAACACCAAAGCTACAAAATGGGAAAAAAGCACACAACTCTGCAGAGTCCAGGAACCTGAAGAGTCCTAACTCACCTTGCCCGTCTCTGACACCTGTCCCCCAGAGGCTTGCCATCTGCTAGATAACAGTCCTGAGCCCACTCGGTCTTGCACAAATTTTAGATTCCCTGATGAAAGCAGTTGCTGGGCTCTGTGTTGCCAGTTCACGGTTCTCTCAATCATATACCGAAGTGCATCTCCCTCAGGAAGGCGGACTCGGATGCGCTGCAGGGAGGCCAGCAGGGGCAGAATTTTCTCTAAGGGAGGTTTCTCTGACCTCCGACAATGGGGACAAAGCCAGATTCGGGGACTTTGTGTAGTACTGGGTACTGCCACACAACTAGTGTGGAAAGCATCCCTGCAGAGTTCACACTGAATCATAGGGGTCGCTGGGGCCTTCTGACATAGGCAGACTTTCAACTCCACATCTTGGACAGGTGAGAGCAATTTCCCTTCATTGGCGACTCTGAGAGACTGCAAGGCTTCCATTTCTCTTAGGCGAGCTTCCCCAAGCGTTGCCATCTGAAAAGGAGTTAATAATCAAGGATGCTGGCACAGAAAAACTCAGCCTTCCCCCAAAACTCAAGGCCCGAGTGGTTAAAAGCACGGGCTCCAGAGTTAGTTATCTGTATTCAAATCCTGCTTTTGCCTCACACAAAGATGTGTAACCCAGGGTAACATATTCTGCCATGGCTAAGTTTTCTGTGTGTATAAAATGGAGATGGTAATAGTGTGCACCTTGCAGTGCTGTGATGACAAGAGATGTAAGATGGAACACTCTGCATGGTGCAAACACTATGTTTAGTTCACATACATCATTTCCTTACAGTCAGGCGTTCTTAATATTTATCTCTGAGAAAATTTACTTCTCTTGAAACATACAGGTACTTTATACTCTGTGTGTACTAATTTCTGAGGATCTCCAACTGTGTTCAGTTCCACTAGCTTTTGTGTTCTTCTAGAAAGTTACTTGAAATACAAAGACTCCCTCCTAGTGCAGCCACTACACAGTAATATTCTGTCTCTTATTTGCTGCTCCTCAACACTAAGGTATTCTGTGTGCACATTTAGGTGGTGAAACTAGATTGGATCCCTCATGAAAAAATTACAGACCATTTCATCAGATTTTCTTATACTTACATACTATAAAATTAGAGTGAAGATGAAAAGCAAGCAATGTACAAGGTTGCCTTTTTACAGAAGTTGTAATGTACTCATGCATAATCTTTCTTCTTTATTAAAGACAGTCAAGTCCCAGGAAGTGCTGAACTTTAGCCTGTATGACTGACTTGAAAACATCAACTTCAGTCATAAGCAGAAGTAACACTGAACATCACTCTAAACACCGTGTACAAGCTGTCCATAAATGGGAGTTTCCCTTTTTTTGTGTGTGGTACCAGGGATCGAACTCAGGTCCTTGCGCTTACGAGGCAGGCCACCGAACTGCTGAGCTAAATCCCCGGCCCTGGAAGTTTCCATTTTTGCAGATACTAGGGATTTAACTCTGGGGCACACTGGAGCTACATCCCTAGCCCTCTTTTATTTTTTATTTTGAGACGGGGTTTTGCTATGTAGCCCAGGCTGGCCTTGAACTTGCATTCCTCCTGCCAGATGCCACTATAAAAAGTTGTACCATTAAAGCTCTCCTCTAGCATTTCACTGAAAGAGAACAAATACATAGGGAGAAAAAGACAAACTTGTTTAACACTGGGCTTTCCTCTCCAGAAACAAAAGCTATAGGCTGTAGGACCTGTTCCATTTTCCCAATACTATTCTCAAATACTCAAGATACTAACTTATCACAATTAAAACCATTCCCACTTATCATATTCCTCCACTTTCAGATCCATTGTGATTTACAGATAAGGCACCTTGAGTTACAAGGCCAGAACGTGACTCCCTTTTTCTCTTTTTAGATTGGGGAAGGAAGAGGTATACAGTAAAAAACAGTTAAGATCTAAAAGTAATTCAGATAACAAACCATTGGTATATTAAAATTTACTTATTTTTATACATGAATGGAATGTACAGCAATATATATGGGTTATGTGATGACAAGGTACACTCCTATAGCTTAGAAATGGTAACCAAATGACTGACCTTTCAGAATTTACCATTACCAGTAGATTATGCGTAGAAGTTTGTACAAACCAGGAGCCGGTGGATTAGCTAGGCAGACTAGAATGTGTAAAAGGTACTGCATGCAAAATTTCAAACATATGTGCACTTCAGGAGGGAAGGACTATAACTTTCAGTTAGTCTTAACAAGAATGCACCACACATATTGTAGGGAACCAAAGAAGCTACCTTAGAAATACAAAGTGGTGGGCTGGGGATTTAACTCAGTGGTGCCGCTGCCTGCCTTGCAAGTACAAGAGTCTTGAGTTCGATCCCTGGTACCAAAAAAAATACAAAGTGGTGCCCAAGTAGCAGAAATATGCAAATATACTCCAAAGAAAGAATGTGTCAAAATAAATAAACCAAGCAACCCCAAGTTAGCTATAAGAGGCCAGGGAGATACAGGAGAACAGATGGGGAAAGATGCCCTGGCTGAAGACACACCCATTCAGTCCCATTCTAAGAGCAAATATGTATAGCCCTGTGTCGCGTAACAACTTACTTTTGTCAACAAAGGTTTCCTATAACAGCGGTTCCACAGGATTATACTACCCATTGACATCACAGCCCTATCAATTTATTTAAGTACATCCTGTAGTGTTCACAGAATACAACTGCCAACACACTTCACAGAACTTATCCTGTGTCTTCAAGCCACGTGGTGACTGATTCCTACTGCAGAACAGGCAATGCTTTGTGTTATTACAAACATCCAATTAGAGCTGATGTGAGGCCCTAGGTTCCATCACTACCACCATAACACACACACACACCCAAATCACACACCTATCTTCTTTTATCCTGACATAGTTTGTACTCGGTAAGTACTAACCAGACATCACTTCATCTTCTTGAAAATATCTTGACTCAAGTGTTTATTAAGGCCAGGAGTGATAGAGCACACCTGTAATCCAAGCATTTAGGAAACTGCGGCAAGTGGATGGATCACTGCGAGTTTAAGGCCAGCCTGGACTACATAATGAGTTCTAGACCAGCCAGAATTACATAGTAAGACCCAAATTCAAAAACAATCAAGTGTTTTTTTAAATGCAGGTCAGATGAGTAGGTATCCAATCTTCCAATCTTTCTTTTGGTGGTGCTAGGACTCAAATCTAGGACCTCATGCATGTTAGGCTGGGACTGTTCCACTGAATTACTCCCTGTACACTTAGATGCACTTCCTACTTTAACCTGGCATTGCAGTTTCACATATCTGTTAGCCCTAACAGCCTTTTCTAGCATTTCTGGATCAAAGCACAAGCATTCTGTAAGAATGTAAGACTCAAGACTGAGAGCCCTACTCTAAATCTTATATATGTTCAGGCATATTTTTATTTTATCTTTAGTAAAACTGAGCACTTTCAAGTTATTCTACTTGCCTTCTCAATATTCCTTAAACCTAAAACATTTAGAAATTGTTCTCCTCAACAACAGAGGAAAAGGAGAAGAAAAAATCCTACTACGCACAGCTGAAGCAGTCTCTTTGCTTTCAGTTAAAGCCCTTTCCAGGTCATTGAGAGTCTCTAGTTTGGTGCTTTTCTTCTTCCCACTTGGCAAAGGCTCCTTTAACTTTCTCTGCTTCCTTTTCAGTCCCAAAAGGCCAATATCACATCGAGGACACAGTACCTAGTGTGGGATAAATCACAACCATATATAAATTGGAATTCAGAATAAACAAAATAAAAGACAATTACATAAAAAAAGAAACAAGGAAAGAGGGAAAGCAGGCTTGCAAAACAATGACTTTCATTCCAGATTCAACTAAGTAAATAAAAATGAGGGGCTGGGGATTTAGCTCAGTGGCAACGCGCCTGCCTTACAAGCACAAGGTCCTGAGTTCAATCCCCGGTACTGAAAAAAAAAGGTAAAAATGCAAAATATACCAAATGATTCCACTGACATGCATGAGATTCATTTACAGAAAACACTTTATGAAAGAGAACTAGGTTCCTGCAGGTGAGCTGGCTGCAAACTTACCTCTAAGAGAGAATATGGAGAATTCTCAGTCACGAATGTATTAGCAGCACATTCCTTCCAAGCCTGAACCTCAGCTACTAGTGATTCCAGTCTGGGCAAAGAATTCAGATGTACCGGCATAGATCGGCCTCTTGTAACAAGTTCTATGAGTGTCTCTAATACCGGTACACGACCTCCAGCCTAATAAATTAACAACAATTACAGCAATTTAGAACAATAACAACAACAACAAATACTAATGTATAAAAAACAGGAAATGCACAATTCAGACTGGCCCATGATCAATGGACCAATTCAGATTCCTTTATGACCTTCATGACTTCAACACGTTAAAGTCACAGATTCTGACAAACCCTGGCAGCTGGCTAATGGTGATGGGGTAGAAAGAAGCACTATTTGTTTTCTCACCGAACAGCCAGCCAGAGAACCTGTTGTGTACTAGGCCCCAAAACACAAAAATATTAGCATGACATACACTGAGGACCTTTCTTCTGTTCTACTCTTCTAAATTGACTTCTCACATTGTTCCTTACAGATAGTCTAGGAAAAATTCAACAGAAAGAAAAATTTATACTGATTTACATTTTAAAAAGCAACAAAAGAATACTATATTCCAATCCATTTACCAATGATGAATTATTCTAATTCAGTATAAATTATTCAGAAAATTAAAATAAGTTGAGAAAGCCCAGTACTTCTCGAACTTTAGCATGTATAGGAATCATCTCGAAAGCTTGTTTAAAAGAGCTTCTTGGGTCCCATCCTCATACTTTGATTCAGTAGATCAGAGAGGAGCCATAAATTTGCATTTCTAACAAGCTCCCAGGTGATGCTGCTGCTGCTAATCCTGCTGGTACAGGATACTTAAAAATGTTGACTCATAATTTATATGCTCTTCCTGTGACATTTAAATAGAAATATATACACCGGGCTTTAGCTCAATGATTCCACTGCCTGCTTCACAAGCACAAGGTCCCAAGTTCAACCCCTGGTACCAAAAAAAAAAAAAAGGAATATATGGAGTGTTTCCTACATATAAAGAAAAATACTAGATAACTTTTTTTTTTTTGGTACCAGGGATCAAACTCAGATCCTTGGGCTTGCAAGGCAGGCACTGGAATTTTTTTTTTTTTCTTCTAGATAACATTTAAAAATAATCCTGGATAAGGCTGGAGACTTAGCTCAGTGGCATCACACCTGCTTTGCAAGCTCAAGAGCCTGAGTTTGATCCCCAGTACAAAAAATATATTTAATAATAATAATCCTGGATAACATTTTAAAATAAATAATCCAGGGCCAGGGATTTAGCTCAGTGGTTCTGTTGCCTGCCTCACAAGCACAAGGTACAGAGTTCGATCCCTGGTACCAAAAAAAAAAAAAAAAAATTAATTAAAAAAAATCCAGTAAATATGAAATTGGTGCCTGCTACTTACATCTATTAGTCCTTAAATATGATGAAAGAAAAAAACTTAGGCTACTTTTTCAGGAACAGAGCAAAACTTAGGTTTTGCTGTAAGTTTAAGGCAAATGAAAGGAATAAATTTATACAGAAACATGTATGTCTTTGCTTTCTGACTGCATATAAACTAGCAGGCTTTTTTCTCCTTATTGCAATGATCTCAGATTCTGACTGCTACCAATCGCTAGGTGAGAAAGAGAACTGTAACTAAAACTAATTACTAGCGTACCAACAATCACTCACAAAAGGCTACAACTAAAATTCCCATTAATGAAGTCTACATGCATAGTAAATACTTTTCTTTTTTTTTCTTTTAGTATTTTCTCCTCAATCTTTTCCTATCTGCTAGAATAGATATACAGATATTTTGTTATAAACACTTAACTAGAACTGTCCTGTTTTGGTATTTCTTGCTAGCAAGTGGCTAATCAGCACTACTTAAACATATACTAATATTCAGAAAAGTAGATAGTATTTTCTTCTAGAATCTAAATGATTCAAGAAAACAAAACTGGAGACTTTTTCTCAATTGGCCAGTAACACCTATTGGTTTACCATGATTAGAGAGATAAAGGAAGATACTTTTTCTCCCCTACCAACCACTTTTCAAATTTAAGTTATCCAGATAAAAACTGGCTAACTCATAGAAGGCATTTTTTCTGTACCTTAATTATGCTACAAGTGATACAGTTTTCCTTGAAGTTATATGTAAGTCAAGTAAGTATAACATCTAGCAGAAGGCCACAAAATACTTAGTGATAATTAATTTGGGTAATTTATTTTTGTCCCCTTTCTTTTTATATGGCTGAGAGAGTGCTTTTGTTTAAGTCACGCATGACTTGAAAAAATTTCAGGTAAAAGGGCCTACTTTGGCCATGTTACAATATGACCAGACTGACTGACTGACTCTGATATTCCTGATTATCTATCTGTACGTCAATGCTTTTGACAAGCCAGTAATATGTGACCACACCTATTAAGAAAACAAAGAATAAAACCTACACACACCTTCTCTCTCAACTTCGTTATTTAGCTTTTTCCCCTTCAATTGTAACCATGTACTTAAGTTTGATACAAAGGACTTCCCAGTACCCAGAAAAAGTTGGTTGAGTTATTTATGCCTTAATTATCTCAGTCAACTTGTCAGGTAAGAGCTGGTAAGTACAGCCAAAAAGGCCTAATAGAATACTCTGGTCAACTCCAAAACTACTGAATCTGTGCACTGAGATTAGATCCAGTATGTTATCCTTTACAAAGCTTTTCAATTACTCCATTGCTCTTCAGAAGCTGACTGATACATTCAGGACTTTTTTTTTTTAACCAACCTGCAGGGCCTCCACATCCTGAAGCCAGTCCCTGGCTCTCTGCACTGAATCTTTCAAGGCTGCGCCATTAGGCAGGTACGCAGGGATCTCCTCGATCTCCTTTACTGCCGTAGCAAGGCTGCTCAACGAATGTCGAGGTCTATCAAAATGAAACACAAAGGTCTCCTGGCATTTTATGTGATGGTTTGTTTTTTGTATGATTAGCAAAAAGCCTAGAAAAAGCCACTGCAGAAGAAATTCAGTGGGGCAAATGGCACTCCCCATTAAATATCAAATTAACTAGGTTCAAATAAGATTTATGAGCAAATAAGATAAAGCAAATGACTCAGTAAAATATTTAAGATCTACTTGTACCTGATCTTATGATGGCATAAGCTCAAACTTTGATTTAGTGTCAAAACATTATATATAT